TCCTGCACATAACAGGCAATTGCGGACAGGGCACAGACAGGGCCAGATGTGGATGAGGAGACAACGTGGTGTGGGGGAAGCTACAAGACACACATTTGTGTGTGCCACCAAGCCTCACCTTGGCTTACAGCCGACGTCAACACCGGTCACGTATTCTTAGAAAATAAACATGAATACATTCATTTGGATCCAGCATCCAGCAGAGTCAGAATCTCAAATTGAATCTCTGTATGATTCCTACCAAGCAGCCTAACTCAAGCTTGGGTTTATGATGGGGAGCTCACTACCATCAAAATTTATTCCACATCTGTGTCTCTCACTGTTACAGACTTTATTCTCTACCTTATACCTTTCCAGGAATATGCAAAGTTGTTGAGGCTGAGGACTCAGACACCAGGCTCCCAGGGCTCAAACTCAGCCTCCCCCTGTCTCCTGGCCATGTGACCTTGTCGGTTATTAACCTCTGCATGCCTCAGTTTCCTCATTTGGAGCATGAGGGTACTACTAATATTTGTAGGGTTCATGACTATCTCATGGGGTTGTTTTGAGATTTCATGTATTAACATGGAAAGCACTTAGAACTATGTTTGGAGCACAATAGGTATTCAGGAAATGTCAGTGGTTATTGTTATCCTATGATTTATTTTCCTGTGTGAAAGTATAAAAGTTAAAGAATAATGAAAACACATTAAAAGTAGATACGCCAGGCAGAGAGATGAATGAACCGTTTGCATAAACACGAATTAAGAGAGTCACACTCAAATAAGAATTGTTCCCTGTTGAGGACAGCGGACATCTGGAAGGAATTAGAGGGGGAAGAGGGTGGGGCAGGAGTGTAAGCAGAGAAATGTAGTGACTGCTGGGAGGAGATAATTCACTCTGGAGTGTGTACATGATCCCAGAGGAAGGAGGCCATGCTAGCCTTAGACAGCATGGCAGGATGCCTAAAGAGTATTTACCTCCCAAGTAATGTCCTGACTAACCCAGGTACCAAAGCTATTGATATCATGCCAATGAGTTAATGCATCACCTTTGAAAGGCCACTTCTAAAATGCAATTACAACTAGGTACCAGTTTGTGTCTAGGAAGTACACCTTACACAAATTGTAAAAGTGCAATGTCCTTGCATGGAAATTAGTATGCTTAAAAACCTATAATGTGTAATTTGTATAGTCTATAATGTGTAATTTGTATAACTTGGGGGAATTAAATTGGCTGGGATTTTGTAAGGATCATAAAATATTCATGCCTTTTGACTAACTCTGACCAACTTTTGGGAATTTAATGAAAAATTTATAGAAATTTTTTCAAGAAAAAAGAAACATTTCTGTGTGTATTTACCATGAAGGAAAAAAAGATTCCACAGAAATAAAATGGGTAAATTACAGTATGTCCCCTTCAGGGACTCTTATGCAATCCCGACAATTATAAAAGACAGGAAGTAGGATGGGAAAATGCTTGTGAAGTAATTATAACTTCAGGTGGGGGAAAAGCCCAGACGTCAAACTGTGAAGACTGGTTGTGCAAACGGATGGAGCTAGAGAAAGAAGATGGACAGAAAGCCAGAGGGCCTTGCTGGAGGTTGTGGGATCACGGGAGGCTTTTTCTCGCTTTCCTTTGGGTTTATGTTAATATTGGCTGTGCAGTGAGCACCGAGGAAGGACGCACATGAGCTCCCCGGGAAGGGCAGCTGTTTGTCAGCTGTGCCGTGTGGACAGTTTCCGTGTGGGTTCCTGGACAGGGAGAAGGGACGGGGGCCGGCAGGTGCCGATGAGCAGGCCCGAGGCCTCTGAGGGCAGAGGACCGGGTGATACCGGGCTCCCGGAGGAGGGCTGGAGGGAGCCACAGCAGCCAGGGAGAGACAGGGAGGGAAAGAAGTGGCCGGCCTCAGCTCTGGGCTCTGGGCAACCATGGCCTTCACCCAGTCCTGTGATCCCCGGGCTCCTGAGTCATTCCCGGTCCCCAGCCGGAGCGGGAACAGCCACACCTCAGCGTCTGTCCCACTGCTGGCCAGCTGCGCCATGCCTCTGAGCTCCAGACACTGCGGGGAGAATGTCGGTCTTGCTGCCCCTCATCTGCCGGGTCTCACAGTTGTCGCCCAGTGTGGGTGCAAGATGGGCAACGCCGTGGTGTGGGGCTCCGGTCCTGGCCTCTGGTGATGTGTTCAGTGGACAGTTCCCACGGCGTTGGGCTGTCCATTTTCCCTGGAAGCACTCTGTGTGTCAGCAGCTCTGTGGTCAGCCTTCACGCCCACCCTCCTGGCCTCAGTCGCTTCAACTGTAGAATGGGTGGAACACCCAGCTCACCAGAGGCTGTGTAGACCCAGCCTAGTGGCTGGCCTGGCGGAGCCCTGATGAAGCTGAATACGGCCGGGTTGGGTCATCACACTGGACATCTCATGCCCAGAAGAAGGAGCCGATCCTTCTCCCATACTCTGTCTAGTCTTTGCATACCTTGGAAAACCACCTTTCAGGGGATGTTGGCCAACTAGAGTGTGTACAGAAGAGGTCAGCTGTGATGCACAGAGGGTAGCGCTCATTTTGAGAAAATTAAAAAAAAGAACTGCAGAGTTTATATAAGTATTTAAATTTAAGAGCCGGGCATCTTGGCGCACGCCTGTAATCCTGGCACTCGGGAGGCTGAGGCAGGAGAATTATTGTGAGTTTGAGACCAGCCTGGGCTGCAAAGTGAGCTCAAGGCCAGCCTGAACTGCACAGTGAGACCCTGTCTCAAAAAGACAAAATAAATACACTTAAATGCTACATTGGGATTTATGTTTTTCTGTGGTACTGGGGATTGAACTCAGGGCCTTGTGCATGCTAGGCAAACACTCTACCGCTGAGCCACATCCCCAGCCCAGAACTGCAGTGTTTAAGCCAGAGAAGGTATCCTACAGCATGAACATGTTTTTGAAATGCTAAAAGGTGTCTTGTGGGGGGAATTGTGTCCACTTGCTCTCTACTTCCCCAAAGGGCAGATCAGTGGATAGAAAGGCAAGGAAGCACATTTTTGGACCTGAGCAGAGTGCAGAATATTCCAGCAGTCAGAACTAACTGAAAGCAGTATAAGCAGAGGAGGGGTGATCGCTTAGTGGTGTGAGTTTTTTGGATTAAAGTCTAGGAGGGTGGGGCTCTGGGGCCCCATCCAGCTCTGGACACCTCTGAACCTTCCCCGAAGTGGCTTATCTCCCGCAGGGTGACCACTGCAGTGCTCTGTCCTCCCAGAAGCATCACTGGGTAATTGTGGTCACACATTTTCCTGTGACCTCCAAACCTCCAGTCTATTTCCCCCACCCCAACATGAAGTTCTGGAAGAGAATTTATCTTATCCCTAAACCCCCGCAGACATGGGATGCTAGAGTCTAGCCTTTAGTTCCCTCGTCTTAGGATTGTGAAACAGCTGTTTGTAACCAAGAGAAGGGACCCTCTCCAAGAGGAAAGGGTGGGGAGTCTCTGGGATGGCTCCTTTTCTCAAGATTAAAGTCAGGGAACTAGAGGAAGGGTAGGAGGATGCAGAGAGGGGAGGGGAGAGATCTAAAGCCATTTTTCACCTGCCCAGAGGGGCCCTTGCTGCAGCAGGAGGAACGGGACCTTGGGCTCAAGAGGCTATAAAACGAACTGTGTGTGTGGCCTTGAGCCTAGCTGGCCCGGCTGCCTGGATGCTGTTCCTTTAAACCATTCTAGAGCAGACTTGGAGCAAAACCCCAGCTCTGGAGCAGACCCTCTGGGTTCTGATTACTTGCTATGCTGCTTTGGGTAACATTAGCGTGTCTAACTGTAAACAGGGATAATAATGTTGCTGGCTTAGTCCATTTGGGCTGCTGTAATGAAATACCTTAGACTGGATTGCTTCTAAAGGACAGCAGTTTATATCTCACAGTTTGGGAGGTGGGAAGACCAAGATCAAGGTGCCAAGAGAGGCAGGGTTTGGTGTGGGTCTCTTTCTCATGGGTGATGTCTCCTGGGTGTCCTCACCCATGGCAGGAAGGGCAAGCGGCTCCCTGGCACCTCTGACAAGGGCACAACCTCATTCCTGAGGCTCTTCCCCTGTGGCTCATCACAACTATCACTTTGGCACTTAGCTCCCACTAATGGATTTGGAGGAGGAGGACAGCCAGACCACTGCGGGTAATTACTTCCTAAAATCGAGGGGGTCACAGCACCGCGTATCTTAAGTGGAACCCCAGAAATCTGCTCATACTCAACCACTTTGCAACATGCAAGATACAAAAGTTCTTAGGGACCAACCCAGCGGAAGATGCTTAGATCAGGACCCTAGTGCACAGCCTGGTGGTGCACTCCTGTAATCCAGGCACTCAGGAGGCTGAGGGAGAAGAATCGCCATGAGTTCCAGGCCAGCCTGTACTACACAGTGAGACCCTGTCTAAAAAAAAAGAAAGAAAGAAAGACTTTAGTGTCTCCATAATGCTATGTGAAATAAATCAGACACAGAAGTTAAAGATCGCACAGCTTCTCTTAGGTGAGAAACCCAACATATAAGCAATTTATTTTTGTTTTAGTTTTAGGTTTTTTTGTTTTTTCTCCGGTACCCGGAATCGAACTCACAACCTTGCGCTTGCCAAGCAGGCGCTGTGCCGCTGAGCTAAATCCCCAGCCCCATACAAGCAGTTTACAAAGCAAAATAAAAAAGGGATGCTAGGAGACAGGCAGACTGTGTGACGGTGGGAATGGGGAGACAGAAGGGTGAGTAAAGATATCAGGATGCCATATATAAAGTATGTACCAACCCCCGCAAGATGAACGTAATTATTATGTATGGCAAACATACCCTAAAAAAAGGTTGCCAAAGTCTCAGACCAGTCTCTGCAGGCCAGGGGCTCTACCGCGCAGCCGCTACGCAGACAGGCTTGGGACTCACACTTAGCGGGTGCCTGGGTCCATGGAAACCCTCTCTGTCATGTCCCAACGCTGCTCACTCTGGATACCTGGACCTCCCTCCCCAGTAGCGCTCATACCTATCCTTCCTCTGCTCATCCGCAGTGTCCAGACCCCGCAGCTCCCCGGACGACCTGAAGGCACTGACTCGGAACGTGAACCGGCTGAACGAGAGCTTCCGGGACTTGCAACTGCGGCTGCTGCAGGCCCCGCTGCAGGCCGACCTGACCGAGCAGGTGTGGAAAGTGCAGGACGCGCTGCAGAACCAGTCGGACTCGCTGCTGGCGCTGGCGAGCGCAGTGCAGCGGCTGGAGGGCGCGCTGTGGGGGCTGCAGGAGCAGGCGGCGCAGACCGAGCAGGCGGTGGCCCTGCTGCGTGACCGAACGGGCCAGCAGAGCGATGCGGCGCAGCTGGAGCTCTACCAGCTGCAGGTAGAGAGCAACCGCAGCCAGCTGCTGCTGGGGCGCCACGCCGGCCTGCTGGACGGGCTCGCGCGCAAGGTAGGCGTTCTGGGCGAGGAGCTGGCCGACGTACGCGGCTCCCTGCGCGGCCTCAACTACAGCCTGTCCTACGACGTGGCGCTGCACCGCACGCGGCTGCAGGATCTGCAGGTGCTGGTGAGCAACGCCAGCGAGGACACGCGCCGCCTGCGGCTGGTGCACCTGGGCATGGAGCTGCAGCTGAAGCAGGAGCTGGCCACGCTCAACGCGGTCACCGAGGACCTGCGCCTTAAAGACTGGGAGCACTCCATCGCGCTGCGGAACATCTCCCTTGCCAAAGGTAATGCTGCCCCCACCCCCTGGAGCTCTCTGCACCGGCCTTCCTCCTGCACCGCCCTCCCCCAGAGCCTAGACGTCCCCTTGGCGTTTCCAAGTATGCCTGTCTGTCTGAGCCCACACCTCATCGTTTAAGTCTTGCCTCACAGGACTCTGAGATTTTCTGTCTGTGTGACCTATCATCACTTCCAGGGCCTGCCCAGATCTCTCTTGTGGACAAACCTCCCAAGGCAGACAGTGGAGTCATGAGAGTGGTAATCAGGGCGTGGTGGTACATGTCTATAATCCCAGCACCCGGGAGGCTGAGGCAGGAGGATTGCCACAATCTGGAGGCCAGCCTGGGCTACATAAAAATCCTATGGGGGTTTGGCTAAGAGGGTGGGAGTCAGAGCTTGGATGTTGGGCTGGGGCCACCAAGAGCTTGAGGCAGGGGTAGAGAGGCGGCGTGGGGATGAAGCTGCGGAGGGAGGAGAAAGCGGCTTCTTAGGTTTCCCGCGCTCTGACGGTGGAGCCCCAGCGAGTGGAGAATCTCACATTTGAATCTGGCCTTCTGGGCTGTTAGGAAGATGTATTCATCCTAGGTTGAAGGATATATTTCATCCGACAGTGTGTTCATTTTATTTGTAACTCTTAAGTATAATGAGAAAACCGCAGGCCTCCGGCGTGCTCCTGCTTTGGGGCCAGAAATGGTAGTGTGTGGACTCCCAGTTTCACTTCCGGTCACGTGACCCCTCCCTGCCCCTCCCTCTCCCAGTCCTTCCCACTGCATGTGCTGTGCTGTCAGGGGCTCCTTTCACACAGAGCGCTGTCCCCGCATCACGTCCTGTCAGACCCCAGCACTGCTCCCGGAGGGCTCTGCATTCATTAAAGCCTCCTCAGCCTGACACCAACAATACCACGTGAACCCTGCGTATGGCAGGTACTGCACCAAGCGTGTCTCATAGGGCATCTTCCTCAGGAAGTGCCCCTGTCCCCCTTGTACTGCCCAGGGCATGAGGTCCAAGAAGCTTAAACAGCTTGCCCAGGTCACAGGGAGGGAGGGATTTGGCCCCAGCCTTTCTGATCCTGGCCCTACTGTGCTGTCTGTCACATTCCCCTCTGTCCTGTCCGCCTTCTCTTTGATTCCATTGGGGAGCATGGACTGAGCTGTCTGCAGGCCTGGGCACATCTCCTCAGAACCCACACATCTCCTCCAAACCCATCTCCTCCAACAGCTGCCTCATCTCTGCGCCATGCAGCCCCCTCCCCTGGGCTTCTGCGTTGACCATTGCAAAAAATATTCATCCTGGTACCTTCCATTAACATCGTCCTTCTCGCTTTCCAGCGTGCTGTCCTGTGCATGGTTTTGTTTGAAAGTGGGTCCTCATGTGAGTTTAGCCTAAGGGAGGTCTCACTACTGAGAGAGTGGTAGGATTTCAGCAAAAAACATCTGAGACTCAGGGAGGACTACCAAGGCCACGTGACTGGTGATGATGCAACCCAGGACTTTTTGTTTTCAACAAAAAGATTTAATAAGATCTAATTTCCATGCAATAAAATTTAGCCCTTGTAAGTGCTGAATTCAATGAACAGACCAGGACTTTCAATCCCAACACGCTGTACTCATCCTGCTGCCCTGCAGGACCTGGGGCCATTGCTGCATCCTTAGTGCTAAAGTGCAGACACAGCTGGGACTCAGGACACTGGCACAACCATGAAACATAGACGCTGGACAAGCAGAGGCTTCCCCTGGCGCCTGTTGATGGGGCCTCGTCACTTTGGGCTTTCATGTCTCAGAAGTCAAAGGAAGACAGGGTAGAACTTCTTTCAACTCTATGCCCTGAATCTTGGCTTTTCCTGTCTTTTTCCCTCAACTTCCCCTGCCTGAAGATGTTTAGTCCGCCCTTATTAATGAGAAAGCCACTCTGATTTATAAGCTACACTGAGCTGGGCATTTCACAGACCTTCATTCTCCAAGCAGACGTGCAAGACTGCTAACCCTAACATCCCGCAAATAGTATTATTGCCCCCACCCTATAGATGAGGAACCCGAATAATGTTCCCATGGCTTCTTATGAGGTTGGCAAGAGGTAAAGCCAAGGGCTAAACTTGGGAGCCCAGGTTGTTGTCACTGACGCCTTGCTTCCCACTGTGAGCAGTGGTGGCACCTTCTTGCTGTGTCCCCATGTGGTAGAAGGGACACAGACTCTCTGGGGCCACTTCTGCAAGGGCGCTAATCCCGTTCCAGAGGGCTCCTCCCTCCTGACCCAATTGCCCCCTGCAGGACCCACCTCATAATGCCACGGCCCTGTGATTGGGTGGTGGCACATGAATTTGGGGTGGGGGCACCACATTCCGACCATAGCTCAGGGGCTCCTGGCTCCTGCAGCTGAACACCCCTCAGCCCTCCAGCTCTCGGTGTTGCCCTTTGTTGGGTGTCTTTTCCCTTTCCCACTTCCCTTTCGGGGTTGCAGGTAGTCCCCATTCGGAGATCACAGAACTCTGCCCTGGCTTTTGGACAGGGGTGCTCTACCTGAAAGCGTCTCTGCTTGCCCATACCCTGTCTGGAGAGGCCTTGCTCCCTCCCTTTGCCCAGTTCCTTTCTTAAAATCTTCAAATATACACACACATGCATGCACACACACACACACACACACATGCATGCATGCACACCTATGTGCATACACATTCACATAAACGCATAAATTTACATATACACCCCATTCTCTTATCTTTGACCCTTTCCTGGCTCAGAATCTACAAATACTCAACTACGTGTATTTTTCAAATAAGAGTATATTTACATTATTCTTGAGCTTAGCCCAAATGTTTTTCATTCTCCTGCTTTGTTATGCCGTTTTCTATGAATTTCGTCTCCAGTTTGCCCTTTGTGGACATTCACAGTGGAGCTTTCTGTTTTCTGCTTTGGGTTTTCAGCATCAGTCACATCTGCTGAAATGTGTGTGGATTTCAAAGAAGCCAAGAATTTAGATTATCAGAGAAGGGAGGCACCGCTGGAAGGAGAGAGATAGCCAGAGAGAGAAGGGAGGCCTGGGGGAGGAGGGGCAGGAGGCACTTCCAGGCATACCCAGACGGCCTTTGCTAAGTGTGAGTCCCTAAAATAACAGAACTGTAGAGTAGGAGCAGATCTCTCGACAGCATCTTGTCTGATCCTCTTGTTTTGCAGTTGAGGACAACACTCAACATTTGTCCTCGTGTGTCCAGGAGACAGACGCATCCACAGGGCAGGACCACACTGGGCACTGTGTGGGCTGGGCTGATGAACCAGCCCCAAGATGGGACCTAGCAAATTTCATGCACCAAGCTGTGACTGTGGGCTGCATCTGTGGTAGTAGAATGGGAAGTTAGTGGAACGGGGAATCTAGTTCGAGTGGTGTTTCTGATCCCAAATGCTGAGGCTCTAGTTAACAGGCAACCCTTGTGTGGAAGGCATTGAGCATCTCTGTGAAGGGAATGACATGTACAACAGTGCTTCTCCTCTGCAAAGGATTGGGCGTGTGGCCTAGGTGAGCTCCCAGGGTGGGTTGTGTGCCCTCTGTCTCATTTTCCACATCTGACCTCGCTGCAAAGCAGAGTGTGCGCTGGAGAAATGAGCAGCCACACCCAGCCTGCCCCCACCTACTTTGCCTTTGAGGCCCAGAGGACAGAGGCCAGGGCTGCCCCTCATTTTCTAGGGCTGGGTCTTCCAGGCTGTGAAGTGGGGCTGACAGTGCCCACTTTCCAGGGGTGTGGGGAGAGGCCCCAAGGGATGGCGTGAGCAAGTTCTCAGACTGTATCGGGGAGGTGCCAAGGTTGAGGGCTCCGTGACTTCAGGGAACTGGGGGTAGAGCAGCCAGTGGAAGGACTCCACCCTCGGGGAGATGGGGTTAGCGTAGCTGGGGTAGTGTTTATTGTATGATGTGGGTCAGTGAACTGCTGGTCTTGGACCCAAATCATCAGATGTCCCGATCACTTGTTCTGAGCAGATCACTCCCCTGATTCCAGCACATACAGCTCCCCCCCACCCCACTCCTTGTCCTAGGACTTGGCAAGGAAAAAGGAGTTGCATCTCTCCATGTTGGTTGGTCACCATGACAACCCTGGTGCTTCTCCCAGATGTTCAGTTGCTGGTCCTCCTCTGGGCAGAACATGCATCCACGTGGCGTGTCACAGACAGGACTGCACGGGAGACAGTGTGGCCTATGCAGGCAGCCTGCACCTTGCTTCTCGTCCAGCCACCTCCTCACCCTGTCCTTCCCGGCTGATGGCAAAGATGAGACATGTGACAGTGTAGAAAGGGCAGAAGTGTAAAAGCTCACGCAGGCGTCACCAGGGGCAACTCATCACATAACTGCCCAGAAGTCACCCTGCTAATCCCCACAGTGGGCCAGGCCTGTGTGAGCCATGGGGTCACAGAGAGGGGACTTATCCTGCAGATAGGCCAGTCCTCCTTGGGGACTGCAGTCTGAGGTGGGTGATGGCATCCAGTGAGTGGAACAGGGACTGCCTGATCAGACTCAAAGTGCTCCAGCCACAGTGTTGCACAACTGTGTCCAAGAGCAGGGGACTCTGATCATGATGCCCAAAGGGATCGAAGAGCAGAGCATGAAAGCAACTTATGGGCTTAGAGGGATTGGACCCTTAGAAAGGAAAGGGATTGGCCAGTGTTTGGGGACCCAGGAGAAAGATTTTGCTGAGAGGGAGGAACACATTGCAAGTGCAGCAGAAGCTCAGACTGTGGCATCTCCCGTGGGGACCAAGACCACTCTTCCGGGGGGCCTGTTCCATGCTGGGGGTCCTCTGAGGACTCTGCATTTGCTTGGTTGTTTCCACATTTTGGAGAGATTAATCTAACAGCAGTGTGCACAGTGGGTTGGAGAGAAAGACCAGAGACAAGGGAGAAAGAAGTGGGACCACAAGGACCCCACAAGGGTAGTGCCAGTCAGAAACATGGCAGACAGGAGACAGACCCTCCTCTAGGACAAGCCTGCGTGCCAGGGTGTGTGTGGTGGGAGAGGCAGTTGAGGGGAATGAAGGAGAGAGGAATCAAAGCAGACCACAGATTGCTGGACTGGATTCCTGAGAACACCACAGCCCCCAAGGCATGGTAAGACTGAGAATGCGTGGCAAAGGGCAGCAACCGTGATCTGAAGAGGCACCTGTCCTCGGGGCGCCAGGTGGCCTGGCCCCATGAAGCTCTGGCCACCCTACAGGCTCTTGTGAGTCAGTCAGGCTAGTCTGGCCTGAGCTTGAAGTGATCACTCACCATCACTGTTAATTCCAGTGCCTGCCTATTGCTGTCCACTAAGGATCCTCCAGCACTAGCCACTTACTTGTGTTTAAAAATGCACACATGTGGAGGATGCTGTTAGACCTGCTGGTCCCAGGATGAGCCATTCAAAGTCAGCAGGGTGATTTGGGGTGCACCTTAGAACAACCCCAACAGTAATCTGATCATAGTTTTGATGAAGCATATGAAAAGTATAGTGCAGGTGGTCAGAGATGCCCTCACTCCCGAGGTCAGGAAGCCCTTCCATAGCCATCAAGTCATTGAATTGAATCTTTTCACTTCCTGCTACAATTACACAAAAAGGGTTCTTCCCACCTTCAATAGGACCAGAGGGCCTGAGTCCAGATGCTGTGTGTCCACATTCAGCTCTCACCGTCCAAATTCTCTCCATCCTGTTAGCCACATCAGGGAGGTTGCACTGGGCAGCACCTTCCTCTTACCAGGATCAGTCTCAGGAAGATCCCTGCTCTGGGGTCTGTGTTAGTCAGTTTTCCAGCGCCATGACAAAATATCCCAGATAACTGAGGAGGGGTTTATTTTGGCTTATGGTTTTGAAGGGTTCAGTGTATGGTTAGTTGGCCTGCTTGCTGTAGGTCTATGCTGAACAGAACATCAAGGCAAAAGGAAGCTGTTATGGTTTGTGTCTGGGTGTCCCCTGAAAGCCTCATGCGGCCATGGGGCAGGCTTTTAGAGTTTGATTATGGGTGTGAGAGTTACACCCGCCCTGGGGTGGATAGTTTGCATATGTAAGGGAGAGGAAGAGGGTGCTTGAGGCCATTCCGCCCTGGTGTGTGCTTGTTGCTTTGCTGTGTTCTGCCGCCATGAGCTGTAGCTCTCTGCTATGTGCCAGTCTGCCTTGTAATTTGCCAAGTACGGACTGAAACCTCCACAAACTGTAAGCAAAATAAACCTTTCCTTCCTTAATTTTGGGCATCAGGTATTTTGTCCCAGCAATGAGAAAAAAGTAACCAAGACAGAAGCCATTCACTTCATGGCAATCGGGAGACAGAGGAAGAGACCAGTCCCAATACCTCCTTCAGGGGCACACCCCCAGTGACCTAACTTCCTCCAGCATGGCTCACCACCTCAGAGTAATGTCATAGACTGGGGATGAAAGCTTTGGGGACACTTCAGATGCAGACTATAACAGAGTCGCACCTGCATCAGTGTGAAGTGTGTGATCCACTGAATCCATAATCAGCTCAATTCCTGGAGCCCAGGGTTCTCTGTGGGAAGGGTGGAGGGCAGAGCAGATTGACAGGGGCTGGGATCTATGGGGTCAGGGTCCAGCAATAGAGATCCAGGCATCCTCTCTGGGTTCCCTTTGCTGCTGCCTGACCCAGAGGGGAGATCACCCTGGAGATTCACTCCAGGGAATGTGGAGTTTGTTTGCATCTTAAGTCTGCCTTTCGTTGGCTGTTTCATCTTCAGCCTGTTCCAAATAGGGTCTGCTTCTTAATCCTGTGTTCTAAAAACTGGGATCAGTATGGCAGCCTTACTTTGCTTTTCTTCACAGAAAAGTGGATAATGGCCATAAACCCAGCCTTCCTTAAATATTTTATGTAACTCATGAATTTTTTTTGTTAAGAAAACATGATTACTTTTCCCCTGTTGATGTGCCATCAAGTTATTAAACATCTGTCAACTTCGGTTAGGGTCTGAGCATGGTGCCAACTTTTGGAATGTATCAGTACATCTCGGTCTTGGCGGCCCATTTGTTTTGTATGTATTAACATCCTCTGATCTCATATACTCATTCATTCATCAACTATTTATTGTGCAAGACCTTACCACGACACTGTGAGTATACATGTTTGGTTTCCTAGCGATGCTCTAGCAAAGCATGACGAACTGGATTGCATACAATAATAGAAGCTTATTCTCTTCCAGTTCTGGAAGCTGCAAGCCTGAAATCAAGGTGTCCGTGGGTCATCACCTCCGAGAAAACTCTGTGAAACCTGCCTTCCTCTTGGCCTCTGGGGGATGCTGGCAGTGTTTGATTGGCTTACGTCGCATCCCTCCAATCTCTGCCTCTGTGGTCACATGGGGTTTTCACATCTCTGTTTTCTTTTGCTATGAAGACACCAGTCAGTGGATTAGGGCCCACTCCACACTAGCATGACCTCAGCCTGGCGAATTATATCGCAAAGACCCCATTTCCTGACAAGAGTGAGGTGATTTCCAGTAGATGTGAATGGGGTGGGAGTTGTTCAGCCTAGTACAGTATCTCTCACAGAGCAGCAGGAGAGAGGCTCCTGAGCTGGGGGTCTAAAGAATACAGTCCTGCCTCAGGGAGCCAGTCTTTGTCAGGGCAAAGAGAACACATCTGCAGGATGGAGCGTGTCACATGGCACCAGGTTCCCTAGTCTACATAACGGATCATGTTCACTTTAGCAGAAATGATGGGTCCGAGCAGCTGTTGCCAGGATGAGCAGGTTTGAGGGTTGGCAGTGTTAGGAGATTGACAGAGGGGCTCCTGGGCTTGACAGCCCTGGAACAGCAAGTGGCAAAAGGTTCGAGAAGAGCATGCCAGGTAGACCTGGGCTGAAACCACAGCTCCTTCACTCGCTAGCTGGCAGTGTGGCCCAAAGCAAATAAATTCCACATGCAGCGCAGTTGTGGGGATCAAACCCAGTTCCACACCCCACCCTGAAAGGCAGCCCCACTCAGGAGCAGGTAGAAACTGCGCTCCTCCTGTGCCCGGCAGAGGTCTGTGTGCCCACTGCTCCCTCCTGGCCTTCCCCAACAGGAACCAAGGGCTCTCCTGTCCCTGGTGTCCCCCGACAGCCATTTCTTCGACCCAGGGCTCCACCACCTCCCGCCTGGACAGACGGCAGCCCTGCTCCCTCCCGCCCTGATCCACTTCCCACAGTGCAGCCTCGCACGCAGGCGGGGCTCTTCCCTGGGCCCCTCCTGTGGGGCACTTAGGCTGGGAGTCCAAGACCCACCCTTTCCCACTCCCCAGTGCTCTCTTCCACCACCAGCTGCTTGTCCCGTGGCGGCTTCCATAGCTCGGTCTTGGGGGATTTCTCCCCCTGCCTGGACTATCGCTTTCACCCTGGCTTAGTGAGCACCGCTACCGTAACAAAGCGCCACATACCGGGGCACGAACCACAGGCGTTTGTTCCTGGTTTGGTTTCAGGAAAGGCTCCCTCCCCCTAACCAGTCCCACTGGGGGGGCTTCAGCACACGGATTTGGGGGGACACAGGTGCACCGCTTATAACCCACCCAACCGCTTGTGACCAGCTCTGGTTTCTCCTTGTGATTTCCCTTGCAAGTTATCTCCTCCAGGGAGCCCTCCCTGACGTTCCCAAGACGGAGCTAGGCGGCACTGACATCTTATGGGCTTCCGAAGCATCACCACCCGGACTCTTCCTCTCGTCGGAAAAGGAGTTTCTGCTTCCTCGGCAGCCATCCGGGGCCTGTTCCAGAAAGCAGCTCTCTAACCTTGGTGCTGCTTTCACCTTCCAGGGCCACCAGGACCCAAAGGCGATCAGGGGGAGGAAGGCAAGGAAGGCAAGACTGGCGTCCCTGGCCTACCTGGACTCCGAGGTAACGCACAAACGAGTCGCAGACACCCGCCCTGTCCGTCCTGCTGTGCACATGGCAGCCCTGCAGACCGAGTGGCTGGCGGGGAGGGCACTTTGGGACCTTCTAGATTGTGCTGTTCTTGGACTCGGTTATCCCAAAAGCTCCTGCTAGGTTACTGCGCGAACGTCACAGCTGAGTCTGCCCCTTCCCGGGCCTGCGCTGCCTGCCGCATCCCTCAGAGACTTCAGAATGGGGGGCACAGGGGAAATATAGGGAGAAGTGTCTGGGAGCGTATTTTAGGAAGCACACCCTCTAAATATCCAAGGAAGAGAGGAGGCAGATCCGAAGAACGGAGAGCCCCAGCCCGGCCTTTACTCCAGCCCCCGTCTCAGAGGAGCTCTGAAAACTCCGTTAAGGTGCTCTGTACCTACTTTTTCTGCCTAACGAAATCGTGGGGTGGGGGAGCTTTGGGCACATCCTGTGTCAGAACCAAACTTCTGTGGCCACAGGACGACTGGATTCTGGGAACACGTACCTCCCATTAGGAAGGCAAAGGAGGAAAATTCGTGGGCATTTCTGAGGTCCTTCCATCCCCAGGCCGTGCTCCTCTTTCTGGCCTCTGGACTGAGCACTGGGGGAATAATCATGACCAGGAGAGTTTCTCAGGCCCCCTGAAAAGAAGCCCAAAGAAAGCCAACTAGATTTCCAAGTGGGGAAGAAAATTAGTCAGTCAATAAAGGGCGGGGTGCGTCGCAGAGATAAGTGTGGGCTGAGGCCAGGTCCCCCGGGAGCCCTGGGCTCTTGCTTGGGGAAAGTGTTTGTTGGTCCTGGCTCTCCGGGTGCAATCAGCACTGGCTGTGGCCATCGGCCTAATGGCCAGGAGCCTGGGGCCTGATCAGGCAGCAGGCCACGTGTCCACTTACTGACCTTGTGGCTTTCCCATCCTTCTGAGCCTCCAGTCCCCTTGAACACCTCCTGCATTAACGGGAAGGAAGTGGTCATTTTATTCTTTCTTTACATAGAATGGAGCACTATTTCATTTTCCTCCTGCTCACTAATGGTCATCCCCACGCACCTCCCTAAGGGCCAGTAGGCCCCTCTGACCCAGCAGGAGGTGAGGCAGACCAACCAAGAGCTCTCTGCTCAAGAAGCTCAGATCCTACCACCCCCCGACAGCACTCTTTGCTGTGTGCCCTTGGGCAGGTTACTTAACTTCTCTGTGCCTTGATTGCCTCACTGATAGTGCAAGTAAAACAATACCTCCCAGTTTGGTGCAATGAATCAACGAGAATCTTTAAGCCTCACACACAGAAAGAGCTCCAAAAGTTTTTGCCAAATCTAAACCTCCAGAAGTACGGAATGGGGTTGGTATCACCACCATTGCTCACAATAGAACTGGGCCTTTCAAGGGGAAAGATCTGAGCCTAAGCAATGCCAGAGAGAAGGTCTCAGTTAACCAGGAAGACTCAGGAAGCAGTGGTGCCGGAGGATGTGTGCTTGTGGTCGATCACTGAACCAGACAGTGACCTCTCAGGGACCTTCAAGTTCTGAGTCTGAAGCTCTACGATTACCTCTTCTCTCCCCAGGTCTACCAGGCGAGCGGGGTACCCCAGGACTGCCTGGCCCCAAGGGCGATGACGGCAAGCTGGGGGCCACTGGCCCGATGGGCTTGCGTGGGTTCAAAGGTAATAACAAAGCTCACTGCACCTGTGGGCAGCACATGGGAGCTGGGTGGGCACACCGGGGGTAGCATCATGTCTCCACCACCCAGCAGAGCGGCCTGGGGCCGGTGTCTTTATCCCACTAAGCCTCAGTTTTCCATCTAAAACTAACCGTCCTCATGCGCCATGCCCGGTGGAGCTGTCGTGAGGAGTGAGTGTGCATGTGCGAAATGTCTTTAAAGTCTCTATGGGTGTTACTATGGGCTTCCATCCGGAGATGTAACCACAGGAAGGCGGCAGAGGGGCCCCCAGGACAAACACAGAGGCTACTCCTTGGCATTTACTGCCAGATTCCTCCCCTTTTTGCAATACTCCATGTCCCCCAGTATTGACAACTTTAATTCACTTCTTGCACTTATGTTACCAACAGTTTCTTCTGATTATTTTTTTCTCGCTATGGATAGGGTCTTGTTCATTTTTAGGGGAACTTACCTTGGGTAGTCAGTCCCTGATTTTCCATTTTCTTTCAAGAAAATTTTCTATCATTACTGCACAAGACAAGGCCATCCAGTGCTCTTTCCGCAGGCTTCCTACTCTTCTCTTGTTACAGTGACAACTCAGAAAACACTATTGCTAATCATTCTTACCTTGTGTCTTTGTACAAAGAATAACGAGGAAGTCCCTTCCCCCTTGTTCCCTTCACCTCTTACTCTTTAGAATAACCACTGTAAGCTCTTTGGAGCACATCCTGCCAGACCTTTCTCTGAACACACTCATATGCATATACGAGGATTTTTTTTTTTCAAAGCTTAGATCATGCTAGGTATTCTCTTCTAGAAATTTCTGACTTGCATTTTTCACCCATAGTATGCTGTAGGCTTTTGCTTTGCAGCCTTTTTTCTGGAGATCCTTGGAATAGAATTCCCAAGTGGTGGCAGGATTTTCTACTTCTCTGTAGAGTGAGATGCCAGCTGGGAAACAAGCTCTGGTCTTCTAACCATATCCTGGGAAGGAAATCCCATAATTCCCTGGAAACTCTCACTCATGTTTTATTGTTTGCCCCACCGGAAAATCTGCCTGGCATATAACCTGTGTCTCTTCTTATGTGACTGAAGCCCACCCCATTTCTTCCGCTGCGCTCCTTGGAGCAAACTTGGATGTAGACTTCTAAAACTTTGACATTTTAATAGCAATGTCTTTGCTTTCTCATCTTCCTGCTGAATACCGTGTGCTCTTTGAGGTTATGTGGCAGATGATGCTCTTCTGTGCTTTAGGAGATGAGACTTTCTCAGCTGGGCCCCTCCTCTTTCCTGAGGTGACCAGAACAGGGAGCATAATTGTCCCAGCTCTTCTTCTGCCTGCTGTGCCCTCTGGCTGCTGCTGGTTCCTGCCTGAGGGGTTTTCCGGCCTGGGGTTAATAAGTCTGCACAGATGGCTTAATTAACAATTGGCATTTGTTTCTACCTCTAATGCCACTGTTCCTCCTGTGTTTTAGGTGACCGCGGCCCGAAAGGAGAGAAGGGAGAGCGAGGAGACAGAGCAGGGGATGCCAGTAAGGAAGTTCTGTGGGGTCCCTGGGCGCTGTGTGGGCAAGGGTGGGCCAATCACTCCTGCAGCCTGAGGTGGGGGGCCCAGGGGCCAGAACCGTGCGCTGGGCTCCAGTGTCAAAGAGCTATCTTTCCTTTCTTATGGTTCTGCTGGTCCAGCAGGAAATATGGACAGAGCCCAGGGACACAGGGGGCTCTGTGTGGCATCAGCCTGCGGTGTGTGGCTGGATCTGGAGGCCTCCTGACTGCCTCACTGGCTGCCAGTGTGTAATCTCCATGCCTCCATTTTCATCTGTAAAATGGGGCTAAGGAGAGTCCTTATCCCCTAGGGTCCTAGTGAGAATTAAATTATATAAAGTACTTAATACAGTATCTGCACATGGGCTTGGGACTCAACAAGCATTATTATTCCAGGTAATACACTGATCAGACATACTTCCTGAAGTCACCAGAGATGGCGGCTAAAATTCTGTTACTCACTTTGTTAAAATGCCTGTCTTCCCCTGAAAGATGAGCATGAGGTTAAGTGGAATCTCTTCCGTTTCCTCTAAGCTGCCAGGATGAAGCACTGGGTACCTGGCAGACCACCCAGGGTGGCCTTCGCACCCCTCTGCCAAGGTCTGTGCTGAAAGGGGTACAAGAGATACTGGCTTGTCTAGTGGTGGCGGCTTCCTCAGGGCATGTTTTCCCCAGACGGCTATGTGTGGCATCTTGGAGAAGCTGCCAGAGAAGAGTGAATAGTGTCTTGGACCCAAGTTTGAGCCTCAAGCGGAACACCCAGCACATCTCGCTGTTGGCTTGGAATACACGAGGGCCTGAGCAGATTTTTGCCTCCTCAGGGTCTGTGTTCCAGCCTTGGCTCTCAGAGTTCTGGGCCTGATCCTCTGGGACTAGTGCAGAGTCACAAGCTGGACCCCAGCGAGTCCTCCCTGAAGGGTGGGGTGCTGAACATGTCTTTGGGTAGGTTGGCTATTCCTGATAGGCCGCTGCCAAGGTAGCTGAGAAGGACTGTGGCATTTAGCCCTGAGAAATAAACAACTCTGGATGGGCTGGGCAGGAAGGGCGGGACTGTGTAGAGAAATGACCTTTAGAGGGAGATCAGAGATGCTGCCCACATACCAGAGGGATCTTGTCAGGAACTCCCTGGCATTGCTTCTTTAAACTGACCTGCGAGCAGGGACAGGAAGTTGAGCCAGCCCGGGGATCATGGCCAGGAGGGATGCTCTGGTCAGGACTTATCTGGCTTCTGTGGGCAGAGCTGATTGGGCTCTGAGGGGGGAGCATACCGTGGGGAGGCGGGAGCCAGAGCCCAGTGGTGTGCAGCTCTCCCGGAACAGGTGGGAGACCTGGACAAGGGCACCCTGTTACTTGGCTCTCGGGCCTGCTGGTTGCTCTGCCAGAGGACGCCCCTCTCCAGGGACTGAGGCTCGAAGGGACTATTCCCTGCCCGGAGCCTGGTGCTCAGATGAAAACCTCCAGCCCAGCGCTACACAAAGCTCTAAGCTTTGCCTTCCAGGAGCTTAAAAGTGGCCCCCCGGGCGATGGAGCTGGAAGGTGAGGGGCTCAGCCACGATAGCTCACTGAGTGGAAGCTGTTCTGTGTGACAGGAACCTGGGGGTCCCCCTGGAATCATGAATCAGTGAACCTGGAGGCCATCCTTGTCTTCTCCACCATCTAGGCTTGGAGGGAGGACAGTCTTCTCTGTGCCACTATGTGGGGCAGAGGCTCCGGTTAGGGCTCTGATTGCCTGATTCATCCCCCGGATGTTGGGCCATGGAGCCTTGAAAAATGGAACTGGGCTAAGGTCCTTAAAACCTGTGGCTTCTTGCCTGATTGCCAGCTCTGGATACAGATGGAAGCCCTGGGGGATCCACGGCCACCACGGTTCAGGGCTAACGTCTGGGTCTGCCCCATGTCAAGTTCCTTCCCATGGCTGCCACTCCCCAGCCCACTTAGACCACGCCAAGCTCAGCTGTGTTCAGATTCCCACTGAGTTCCCAAGGCTGTCCTGTCCCAGAGGTGTTAACTATATCCCTGAGACCCAAGCTCGGAGGAGAGGCCCAGAGCTCATCTTTCAGAGAAGTATGGAAATGCTGACGAACACAGTGCCCACTTCTGAGGCTTTCTTAGTCATCCCTCGGGCCTGGGCAGCCCCACCATGGGATCCTTAGTGTGGAAAGAAAAAGTTCTCAGCACCAGGGAGCTGCCCTCCTCCAAAAGCTGGTTCTGTGCAGGAGAGGCCACTGACTGGGGTCTGCTGTGGTCACCAGCTTTGGCTCAACACCTCCAGTGCCTACCTGTAGCCCAAAACCAAAAAGTTCCAGCAGGTGGGCCTGTTATTGCATTAAAGATGTTGGTGACAAAAGCAAGAAAGCCACCCCTCACATGGGAGGAGGTCAGGAGGTTTTCCTTTGAGGAGGACATAGCAGAGAAATCCTCTCGGGACCTGTGTTTTGAGTCAGTATTGAAGTATTTTTCAGACTAAAAATCTTGCCATTGTTTACCCGTGTTTTGATCTGGAGTCATAGGCTTTTGGGGTTTGGATGGGTTTCAGATCAATTCCTCTCCCTTTCTCAACCCCACCCCACCCCACCAGCTCATGGAGCAAAGACCAAGAACAGAGAGGTAGAGGTCACCAAGGTCACCCCCACGTAGATCATGGACAAAGAGGGTCTAGATTCCAGATCCTTGATGTTTGCTTGGTGAGAAGTAAAACCCTCTCCCCTCAGGCCAACGCAATATCAATCATTTGATTAGATGTTTGGCTTTTGGAAGTTTGGCCAGGAGAAAAAAAGTTCCATATACACATCTCAAGAGGGAAGGACATTTATTTTACCCTGATATATGGTCCATTTGCAGGAAAAATAAATAGTATCTTGCAGTGAGAGGGTAGGTAAAGGATTCAGTTTTGTTTAAATCCCATGACATGCATTTAAAGCAGATTATACATTCAGATTGTTTAAAAAATGAGTCTCAATTTGGTTTCACATGGAAAAACATATTCAGATGATATGGGGTGAAAGCTCAGAAACTTGAAAAATGTTTAGTACTTTGTGTGTATTTGGGAACGTTTAGGGGTAGGATCCTGGTGGGCACCCCGGCATATAGCATAAGTTTAAAATAATAATCAAGGGAGGAGCTCTAGAGGGTTTTCCCCAGAGCTATGGAGATCTCTGTTCTAGAACGAAGGAGGCTCTGAGAATTCTTGGAGTCTGCAGATTCTCTTCCTCCCATCCTTACCATGGGGAATTTGTTTAAAATAATGTCACACCAAAAATGAGCCTTATTTCAGGCCTGAAAATACAGGGCCCTTGCACCTTTTATGTACAAGTAGTATTTCTTTATTTAACCATGTGTGCAGCCTTACTTTCTCATAAAACTTGAACACCCCAGCAATGAGGTGATCTAGCGGTGAATCACACTTCTAAGAAGTTAACTGTTCCCATAATCCTGTACTACTAACTTCCTCATGTGCCTGGAATGGTGAGAACCACTGCCCCTGCGCACGCCGTGTCCCTTAGCTGCCAGGAGCTTGTCTGTTACACGGTCACATTCCTGGTAGGGAGATGAGGAGGCCGGGGTAGAGAGGACAAGGAGCCTGCCAGTGGTCACCAGCGATCATAAGAGACAGAACTGGGATGAATCAGATCTGTGTGGCCTGGACTCTACACTATCCATCCCTCTGCCACCATCCCTGGTTATCTTTTGTTTGGCTGGAGTCTTCACAGGCTGCTTCATCTATCCCAAGAGTTTAGAATGATGGTGACAATTTCTTAGCAGTTCTCCACTGCTTTTAAGGTATTCTTCTCTGTGTCAGACTTTGCTGCTCTTTGCTGGCCTTGGCTGCCCTCCTCTGCTCCTGCGGATCTGAGCTGGGCCCTAGTAGGTCTCTCAGCATGGCTGTGCACCCGACAGCGAAGCCTTTCCAGCCTGTGCGCCCTTTACGCACATCCTGGGTGTGTATGGGCCGAACCCTTGGATGCCAAGGCACCTGGATGCATCAGGCAGCGTTCACTCCTGGGTGCATTTGCTCAGTTTATGCGTTTCTTCATTCTTACAGTCTCGAGCAATTGGGTAGCAGATGAAAATACAAAAGTATATGAGATATGATTGAAAAATATGTTGAAGGTATAAATTTAAAAATTTTTTATTGCACTAAAAGACAAACAATTGCCATTAATCCTGCTGAAATACCCTACCTCAGTTTGAACACACATATCCCATCGTCCTTGCCACACTCTCTGAAGCAGTTCTGCAAGTCCTCTTTTGTGAGTGTCTAGTTGTGCTGCCGTGGCTGCCTCATATCCTGAATTTATTCAGAATGGTTACCTTTCGTGGTCATTTTGATTGTGGGGAAGAGCCAGGAGTTAGGGTGTCAGAGCCAGTAAATAGGTAGACTAGGACATAGCGTGGTATTTTTACCACTCTGCCTTTCCTTTGGATGGTGCTTGGTAGCAGCATTCTCCCTATTTTTGATCACACCTTATAAAGATACTCACAAAAGAAAACTCCAGAACTGCTTTAGAAAATGGCAAGAACGATGGGATAAGCGTGTTCAAAGCAAGAGGATGTATTTTGAGGAGGATTAATGGCAGCTATATCTTTTATTGTGATAATTTTTAAAAAATTAACATTCAGCCAGTCACGGTGGCGCATGCCTGTAATCCCAGCACTCGGGAGGCTGAGGCAAGAGGATCGTTGCAAGTTCGAGACCAGCTTGGGCTACAGAGTGAACTCAAGGCCAGCCTGAGCTGTATAGCAAGACACTGCCTCAAAAAGACCAAAAAAAAAAAAAAAAAAATTTAACATTCATTGTACTTTTCAATTATCCTTTGTATGTGGAAATAGGAAAGGGCTTTCCAACTATTTCCTTCCCAAAGTTTATATCTAGTGACTGAAAAAACACTCAGACCCAAAGTTCACTCTGGAAAATTGTCTTGAGGCAGAAACCACAGGGGAGTGGGGAGACAGCAGAGAGACAGAAAGCAGGAGCTCAGGACAGTGG